TTCCACTGTTAGGAAATCACCTTAATTGGAAGTGATTAATCTGCATGTGATTACATGCAAAAAGACAAATATCAAAAGAAGAATCTAATGGAATGCTATAAATGCCAGCCAAGTGATAAATATGCTCTATTTAAATCAAATGCTCATGGATTGTGCCAGTATTGGATAGTATACCAACCTGTGCCAAGAAAGTTTAAAAGATGAAATAGCATATTGCATTTCATTAAAATTCATTGTAATTTAAAAAAAAAAAGTGAAATAGGTAAAATCTCATCACAGATGAGCATTAATAGATGAACATTAGTAATCTAGTTTGATAAGAAACACTAAGTTTCACCTCTAGTTAAGTGAAATCTTAGCTCCCCCCAGAATAATTCTATTCATTGCATTGGTATACCTATATTGCAAAAAATATATACTCAATAATGATTTTATTTTGAATTTTAAGAATTAAAAATGCGTGGAAATTTGTTTGCTCAATTGTTATATATGTACTGACTTAATATCCTTGATTTTGCCTCTTGGCCTAAAATTATTTATTTATTTAGTTAGTTAGTGAGGAAGATCAGCCCTGAGCTAACATCCATGCCAATCCTCCTCTTTTTGCTGAGGAAGACCTGCTCTGAGCTAACATCTATTGCTAATCCTCCTCCTTTTTTTCCCCAAAGCCCCAGCAGATAGTTGTATGTCATAGCTGCACATCCTTCTAGTTGCTATATGTGGGACACGGCCTCAGCATGGCTGGAGAAGTGGTGCGTTGGTGCATGCCTGGGATACGAACTCAGGCCACCAGTAGTGGAGCACGTGCACTTAACTGCTAAGCCACAGGGCTGGCCCCCTAAAATATTTATTATTTGGCCCATTAGAGAAAAAGTTTGCTAGCTTCTGATGTATATTATAAACTCCAAATCAATCACTAATCAAAAAAGCTAGTAAATCAATTAAAGGAGATTAAATGGAATCATAAAAAGTAACCCAAAGGCAGAAAAGGAGGGAAAAGAAAATAAAGAACAGATAGAATAAAGAGAAAACCAATTGCAAGATGGTTAATTGAAACCCAACAGTATGGATAATCAAATTAACTGTGAATGGTTTAAATGTTCTAATTAAAAGGCAGAGATTTTCAGAGTAGATAAAAAAGTAAGACCCAATAATATGCTGCCTATAAGAAAACCACTTCAAATATAAAGGCACAAATAGTTTACAAGTCAAAGGACAAATAGCAATAAACCATTGTAACAATAAGCAAAAAAGCACTAGAGGTTCTGTATTAACATCACAGTTGACTACAGGCAAAGACATTTATGTACCTAATGAAAGCGTTTTAAAAATGCATGAAAAAATGATATACAAGAAGAAACAAATGTACCTTTATAGTAGGAGTTTTTAAAGCCATTACATAATTAATAGAACAGGTAGAAAATCAGAACATAGAAGTCATGAACAACACTCTGGACAACTTGACCAACTTCACATTTATAAAACACTCAACAAGAGCAGAATACACATTATTTTCAGGTAAATGGAACATTTACCAAGATAGACCACATTCTAGGTCATAAAATAAATCTCAATAAACAAACAAGGATTTTTTGTCATATAAAGTATGTACTCAAACCACAATCAAATTAAGTTAAATTTTATAGACCAAAGAAGAAATCAAAGGGGAAATTCAAAATTATTAGAAATGATTGAAAATTAAAACATAATGTCAAAATTTATGGAATGCTACCCAACCAGTATTTTGGGTGAAATGTAATAGAACTAAAAGCCTTTATCAGCAAAGAAAAAAGATCTCAAATTAATGATCTCAGCTTTAGAAGGCTGAGAAATTCTAACCAAAATGTAACACACTCAACTATAAAATTTTTAAAAAATAGAAGAAAATCTTTTGTGTGTCTGCTGAAATCATCCTATGGTTTCACAGAACAATTAGAATTAAATACAAATTTTTATGGTGCCTTATCTGTGCATCTGGCCCTGCTACCTGACTCCATCCAGTTGTCAATTGCTATTCTCCCTGTCAAGCCACACTAGCCTTGACCTGGTTCCTCCAACAGACTAAGCCCTTGCCAGCCTCAGGGTCTTGGATATGCAGTTCTCTTTTTCTGGACTTCCATTCCCCACCTTTGAACCTAGCTAGGGATCCTGCATGTTTCCTAGGTCTGAATATCACCTGGCTTACTGCTGGTTCACATTCCTGTGTTTTCAATTTTAATGGGCACCTTCCAATTACAAATAAGAACACTGAGGCCCAGGGAAAAGTGACATGGCCAGGTCACCCTTGTGTTTATTGTTACATGGTTATGTAAACATTGGATGTCTGAAGTCCCAACCCATCACCAGAATCTAGGCTCTTAGCCACCAGGTTCAGCTACAGGTACTGCCACAGCTACAGCACAGATGGCCATCCTGAGGGAAGACAGGGTCTTCAAGAGGCAACGCCTTACCACTGAGTACAAAACTATACTATACTACATACATACATATATACATACATATGTATACTATGTTATATACACTATATAGCTATATCTTTAATAAGCAATCCTCATTATTTGCAAATCCACCTATTCACTAAAATTTATTTGTAACCCCCAAATCAATACCTGCAGCATTTTCAGTCATTTGCAGACATGTGGAGTGTTAAAAAGTCTCCCAACATGCATGTTACAGCTGAGGTCAAAGTGTCACTCTGCCTTCCATTTTCAGTTCTCATACTAGTCAGTGTCCTTTTCATGATCTATTTAGTGCCACATTTTTTGCATTTTTATTAGGGGTGATTTTGCTGCTGAAAATGGCCCCCAAGCACAGTGCTGAAGTGCTGTCTGGTGTTCATAAGTGCAAGAAGGCTGTGATGTGCCTTAGAGAAAATATATGTGTTAGATAGGCTTCATTCAGTCATGCATTATACTGCTGTTGGCTGTGAGTTCAACATTAATAAATCAACAATATGGCAAATTCAAAAGTAGAAAGAGGAAATTCACTGGTCTGCATGAGGCCATTTCAGAAAGTGTTAATGCATCTATAGTGTGTGATGAAGCTATGAAAAAGATGGAAAAATGGCTAAAGTTGTGGACTCACGAGATGAAGACTGATTAAAAAAAGCACAAGAGACAGACACCATTGTTGTGAGGCTAAAAGCCAAAATTTACAGTCATGTTACCCAGGTCAGGAAAACGTTACACTTTGATCAGTTAGTGCTAGCTGGCTTGTACATTTCAAAAGGCAATAGAGCATGAAAAATGCTTGCCTTGTAGGCAAGGCAGGTTCTGCAGACTGGGGACTGTGGAATAATTTTAAAATACCTTCTGAGTGTTATACAGGAAAAGTGTCATGTGGAAGAGGAGGTCTCAATGCTGATGAGACTGGTAAGGCTGTTGGCAAATGAACTTTTATAATGCAAATGGTCTCCAAAGCCCCAGATTTAGATTTTTCAAATATCATGCTGCCTTGCTATTGTGTATCAATGCCCAGGACAACTTTAAATGCAAGTCCCTAGTGGTGTACAGAGCCCCAAATCCATAGGAACTTACAAGGAAAAACCTGAACCATATGTCAGTCCATAGTAGGTGGAATAAAAAAATTTGAGCGATGTCAGAAATATTCTGCTCATCCAAGAAGTTGAATGCTACTCCAGGGCAAAAACCCTGCCACCAAGGTCTTATTAATTTTGGATAACGTTCCAGTTTATTGCCATACAGAACTTGAAAATGCCCATCCCAACCTAGACTACATCTGTCATCCAGCATTTCAGTCAGGGCATAATAAAAGCTTTCACAGTGCACACCATGAAGGAGCTTTATAGCAAAGCTCTCAACACCAACAAGGAAACCACCAAGATGGACTACTGGAAGTCAGTCACTATACGCACTGTTATTGTGTTGTCACCGCCTGGCATAGTACCAGACTACTGTCAATAACTGTTGGAAAAATGTTTGGCCAGACTGCCTGAAACATTTCAAAAGCTTTGAAGGTGTTAGAAAATATAAAGGACAGTGTCAAACATCATGCATATCACAGGGTGAGTTAGTGGGAAAGGCTTCAACAACATGATAGAAGACATGGAAAAAATTTTGGCAGAGAAGGCAGTGGAATCCACCAACAAACATCTGGAAGAGATGGCAAAATAAGGCGTTGAGTCAGTGATGACGATGGTGCTGAAAATCAGTCTAAGACTCTAAGAATTGTCCCTCTCAGAGCAGCCAAAATATCAGAATGAAATTCTGTCTTGGAAAAATTTTCAATGACGTGAAAGAATGTGACCCTATGCTTGAATGCAGCCTCAAATTTAAGCAGCTAACCTCTACTTGTGTTCACTCCTTATGCTGAGACAATTAAAGATGTGAGGCGAAAAGCCAAGCAGACAAGGCTGATGCAATTTTTCAGGCCAGTTCAGGAGGGAAAAGTGCTGATGCCATCAACAAGTGGCAAGAGTCAAACTCCTGAGGTAGGACTGCCAGATGTTGACATGCCACCCTTCTCAACATCTTCCTCTTCTATAGAATAAGTTCCATCAACCTCTCCCTCAGTTTTCTTGGGGCAAGCCAATGTCAAGAGGTTTATCCACACAGCACACTGCCCCATCACACATCCTGCAGCTCTATCAAAATTGGAGTTTTAGTTAATTGATTTGAGTTAATCTTTAATGTTTTTCTAGGACTTTTACTGTACAGCATTTACTGTGTTTATTGTATGAGTACTGCATATATGTATCATTTGTATGTGTATACCACTGAGTGAAAGTTAAAGCAGTACAATAACAATAGAATACATAAAGATGATGTAATTGAAATATTTTTATTATAACGATACTGCATTAATTTATAAGGAACATATATTAAAGAAGGTGTCTTTAAACAGAAAAAAACATTCCATAAAAGGTTATGTATTGATTGGTTGATGAAAATATTGTGAAGAGGCTCAGAGGAACCCAAACCTGTATTTTCCCTAGGAGCAGGGGTTCAGTATTCACTAATTCAGTGTTTGTGGTGAATTTACAGACTATAACTACCATCAATAACAAGAATTAACTGCACATATATATGCATGTGTGTGTATTTGTAATAAGTATTTCATAACTCAGGCCTTTATATTTCTCACAAAGACTTATGCTTCTCAAGGGCAGACATGACAATGTTTTGGAATAAAGAATACTTTTAATAAATGTTGGAAGAGCTGCCTTCGATGGTCCAAGCCTCCTGGCTATGGATGTATAAAAAATACATAAAGGGGACGAGGCCTTTTTATCTCTCATAACCCCAACACCTCTCCCTGCAATGACAAACTGTCATAAGCTTGGCAGGGAAATTAAAAAGAAGCCATATATGCATTTCTTTTTCCTTTCTCTTATACATCTCCTCTACTTCTCCTTGTTCTTTTAAAATACCCTTGAGATGAATTTCTGGTATAAACATGGGAAGAATTGTTGTTGACATTTTTCCTAAATGCATGATAACCACTGGGTCTCTCTCCTGGATGATTCTCAGGTGTAATGTAAGGCTTTAGGCTGGGTCAATTTCTAATGACCCTTTAGATGACCTGCCACAAAAACCTTTCACAGGGATGACGATTATGATGTTTCTCTTCAGTATGAATTATCAGATACTGAGTAAGGTATTTCTCTAGCCAAAAGATTTTCTTGAATACTTATATTCAAAAGGAAAGGTATTTCACCAGTAAGAGTTCACTAAAACTGAAGTGGACACACTTGCAAAAGGCCTTCCTACATCTTTTAAACTCTGGTATGAATCTTTCGATGGTGAGTGAAGGATGAACTGTGGCTGAAGGCCTTTCCACATTCACCACATTCAAAGGGTTTCTCTCCAGTGTGAGTTCTCATGTGCTGAGTTAAGGCAAAGTTGTCACAAAAAGCCTTCTCACATTCTTTGCACTCATAGGGTTTTTCTCCCGTGTGGATCCTATTATGCCGAACAAAATTTGCAGGTTGGGTAAAGGCCTTTCCACATTCTCTGCATACATACGGCTTCTCTCCAGTGTGAATCCTCATGTGTCGAGTAAAGGAAGAGCTGTAGTAAAAGGCTTTTGCACATTCTTTACATTCCAAGGGTTTTTCTCCACTGTGGGTCCTGTTATGTCGGATAAAAACAGAGTGGTGTGTAAAGGCCTTTCCACATTTGCTGCACTCATAGGGCCTCTCGCCAGTGTGAATCCTCACGTGTTGAATTAAGGAAGAGCTGTCACAAAAGGCTTTCCCACATTCTTTGCACTCAAAGGGCTTCTCCCCAGTGTGGGTCCTCTTATGCCGGATAAAAGTGGAGCGGTGAGTAAAAGCCTTTCCACACTCACTGCACTCATAGGGTTTTTCTCCAGTGTGAATCCTCATGTGCTGAGTGAAGGACGAGTTGAGGCAAAAAGCTTTTCCACATTCTTTGCACAAAAATGGTTTTTCTCCTGTGTGGGTCATATTGTGCTGGATAAAAGTGGAGCGGTGAGTAAAGGCCTTTCCACATTCACTGCACTCGTAGAGTTTCTTTCCAGTGTGAATCCTCATGTGTTGAGCGAACGAAGAGCTGTAGTAAAAAGCTTTCCCACATTCTTTGCACAAAAAGGGCTTTTCTCTAGTGTGGGTCATATTATGCTGGATAAAAGAAGAGCGGTGGGTGAAAGCTTTACCACATTCTTTGCACTCATAGGGCTTATCTCCAGTGTGAACACGCTGGTGCTCTGTGAGGTGAGACCTGCGTTTGAAGGCCTTCCCACACTCGATACACTTGTATGGTTTTTCCCCAGTATGAAACCTCATATGTCGAATGAAGTCTGCCATATAACGACAGGCCTTCCCACATTCACTGCATTCATAGGGCTTCACTCCAGCATGAATCTGTTGATGCCGAACAAGGGCCCAATTCTTGCTAAACCCTTTTCCACATTCCTTGCATTTGTAGAGGTTATTTCTTGCATCAATCACAGGGTCTTTTCCTGGTCCTTGTGAATCATGTTCATGCAGAGCATCTTGTGTAGTGACTCGCTCTTGTAAAACCCTTAAACACAGACTATCATCTGTTTCCGAATCGTCAGGTTTATGGCTCAACTTCCTAGGGCATGTCTCCTTGTCAGGGTCTGTTCCTGGCCTCAAGTTCCCTTCCTGCATTTCTGATAGCTTTTCCTGATCTCTCGCTTGCCCCAACCTGGACTCTCTTGAGGCTGCCTGTGTCACGCGTTCCTCAAAAGGTGCTTCCTCAGTGAAGGCCTGCTGAGAAGCAGTTAGCTCTGTGGTCTTGGGTTTTGTTTTTTCACCTGAGGAAATCCAATACAGAAAGGGTGTCTATTAGTGATGTCAACGCAGAATAAACAAAATTACCACTTTAGTGGAAGAATGAAGATGAAAGTAACACCTCTAATGCCTATGGTATTTTTATATCTCTTAAAACCCAGGTTCACAACTCCTTTCTTTACTAATCCTTGGACTCTTGACATCTTTAAAAGGTAACCCAGGAGGAAAAGCTGGGGCAGGGGATAGAGAATCTGGAGTGGAGACTCCCCCTCACTCTCCAGAATGGGGGATGGTGGGCAGAGTAATGATTACACTGTGTGTAATGACTGTGCTCTAGCATCTCATGGTGCTGTGACAGCACAGGGAAGGTGCACCTAACTTGGCCCAGATAGGAGACAGAAAGAGGTCAGTGGAGACCACCTGAAGAGGCTATGTGAGCTTATTTCCAAAGGAGAGTAGGAATTCCTGACAGGAATTAGGAGAGAGATTGCAGCAGATGACAGAAAGTACAAAGGTTGAGAGTCTTGAGAGAAGGCAAAGTGAAAAGGATGAGAGGATGGTGGAGATGAGGAGGAAGAGTCAGGTAGGGACACAGGAAAAACAAAGTCTCAGGATTCTGAACTATGTGCAAGTGGGCGAAGGTGAGAAGCAACTGGGCGGACATATTGAGTCTACTATGTCTGAGTAAAGACTAGGTGAACAGACACAAAATATTAACATCTAGATGAAGAAATTATAAAACATCACATTAATGAAGATCTATATCAAAAGAGAGATTAATAATATAAGTTGTCAATTCTCTTCAAATTCATCTATAAATTCAATACAACTTCAGATAAAATCCTAATAGAGTTTTTTATGGATACTGACAAGCTGACTGTGGAATTTATAGAAAAGAACAAAGAGATCAGGATATCTCTGGAGAAGGATAAAGCAGAGGGACTTGCCTTTTGAGGAGTTAAGATTGTGATGAATTATATACATCAAGGCAGTGTCTTATAGGCACAGATATAAGATAAACTGTCAAAATGTAAAAGGAAAAAACAGAATTGAGAGCTCAGAAATGTATATATGAAACTTTAACATACGACAGAAGGAGCAGCGAGGCCAGTGGGAAAAGAAGGGACTATTCAATAAATGAGTCTAGTAAAATCATTTGCCATATGGGGGAAAATGAAATTCCATTCCTACCTCACACCATACAAAAAATTAACTCCAGATTGATTAAGACTTAACTGTCAGAAGCTAAACATTAAAAACTTTTAGTAAATAGTAAAAATGAATATCTTTGAGATCTTGGGAATGATAAAGATTTCATAAACAAGATATCAAAGCACTAATTATAAAAGACAAGACTAGTCAAATTTGACTAAACTACATATAATTTTTAAAAAGGCAAACAAAGGTGGCTATATTAATATCAGATAACATAGACTACACAGCAAAGAAAATGAGACAAAGAGGGATATTATATAATGATAAAAAGATCAACCCATCAGGAAGACATAACAATCCTAAATCTGTATGCACCAAATATCAGAGCCTCAAAATATACAAACCAAAAACTGAGTTGAAAGGAAAAATAGACATAACCACAATTACAGCTGGGAATTTCAACACTACACACCCAAAATAAAAACTGAGCATGTTATTATGAAGTGACATTACTCAGAAAATATATGTTAGCCCATCAACATATGAAGAAGTGCTCAACTTTCTTGGATATGAGGAAAGGGTAAATTAAGACCACAATGAGATTCCTCTCTATACTCACCTGATTGAACAAACTTAAGAACCTGACAATATCAAGTGTTGGAGAGGATGTGGATCCATGGAATCGTTCATACAATGCAGGGGAAGTGTAAATGAGCATAAATAACCATTTTAGAAAACAAGAGCATCACCTAGTGAAGTTCTCCTTTTGCGTACCTTATAATTCAAAAATTCCAATCCTAGGAACAGAACTAAGAGAAATTCCTACACGTGTGCATGAGGACACAATGTATGTGAATTTTCATGGCAGCGCTCTTTGTGGGCACAAAAAACTGGAAACAAGAAATGCCCACGAAAATGGATAAATACAATGTGTTATATTCATGCAAATGACTACAGAGGAAAACAATGAGTGAACTATAGCTAGAGGCATCATGAGTCTTGGTGATATACTGTTGAATAAAAAGTACAAATCCCATAAGACAATATAAACTATGATATACTTTTTATAATGTTCAAATAAAAAGGCAAAATATACTCAAACATTAGTACAATGAAACAATTTAAAAAATTTTTCGAGAATGTCAGTTTTTAATGGCAAAAATGATATGTACATATGTTAAATTTATTTTTAGCATTTTTTTATTGTGGTAAAATATACCATTTATATTTATATAAATATATATAATATATAATAATATAAAATTTACCACTTTAAGATGAAACAATCTTTTTTTTTTAAGATGAAATAATCTTTAAAAGTAATGGATAGAATAATTAGATGAAATGGACAAATTCCTCAAAAGACTCAAATTAGCAAAACTGACACAAGAAAAAACAGAATATCTGAATAGCCCTATATTTATCCAAAAAACAAATTTTGTTATGAACTGAATGTTTGTGTTCCCCCAAAATTCATGTGTTGAAGCCCTAACCTCCAATGTGTATTTGGAGACAGGGCCTTCACAGAAGTAATTAAGGTTAAATGAAGTCATAAGGGTAGAGCCCTGATCTGATAGGATTAGTGTCCTCATAAGAAGAGACACCAGAGAGCTCTCCATCTCCTCTCCACTACCCCCAGCACCACACACACCTAGGAAAGGCCTTGGTCTCTCTTTGTCTTATAAGGAAACTAATTGCATCATGGGGGCTCTACCTTCATGACCTCATCTAAACCCAGTCATCTCCCAAAGGCCCCATCTCCTAATATTATCACGCTGGGAGTTAGCGCTTCAACATTTGAATTCTGGGAGGACACACTCAGTCCATAACCATGTTATACAAGAAAAAGCATGTAAATCAATCAGCACGGTGCATGGCAAACCTTCAGTAAATTGTAGACCACTATCTATTATCATTATAACTGCATTTGCCAATTAGAGCATCAACAGTAACCTGAGTAAGAATATTTTCAGTACTGTGGTGCTGAGAAATACCACTATTGGGCCTCAAGAGTAAAGGGGAAGATACCACGTGCTCACTACTATATGGAGCAATGAGGACTCTTACACATGGCTGGTGGGAATCTGAAATGGTGCAGTCACTTTGAAACTGGCTATTTCTATTAAAGCTAATCATATACCTATACCATGATCCAGCCAATCCCCTCATTTGTATATTCCCAACAGAAATGTGTGCTTATATCCAACAAAAAATATAACCAAGAACATTCATAGCAGCATTCTTTGTAATATTCAGAAAATGGAGACCAAGCCAAATGTCCATCAACAGGAAAGTGGGTATGTGTCATCTATACATTCATTGAGATATTACTGCACAGTAAGAAATTAATTCCAAATATATGCAACCACATGAACAAATCTCAGAGGCATAACAATTATCAAAAGAAGACAGACAAGACAGTATTATGCATTGTGGAGTGTCATTTATAGGCCTCCAAAACTCATCTATGGTGATAGTCCTTTTGTAGAAGGGGATATTAACAAGGAGGGAGCACAAGAAGCCTGTGAGGTGCTGGAAATACTGTATTTCTTAACCTGTGTGGTGGAAACTCTGGTGTATATATATATGTAAAATTTCATAAAGATGAACCTTTAAGATCTGCACATTCACCATGTATAAATTACACCTCAGGACAAAAATTAAAGAAAACAGTAAGAAGTAGTAAAGGGGAGTCCTGTGTAGATGTCTCTTCTAAGAATGAGAAAACTCTCCCAGAAGCTTGGTTGTTCAAGTGAAATGGAGTCAACAACATTTAGATACTATTGGAGAGCCAAGGGCTTTTTTTGTTTTGTTTGCCCCCAGTGTCAGAAACTTCACATGTTTTTATGTTGAGTAGAGAGAAGATGAAGATATAGAAGAGGTAGGAAATAAGTAAAGAAGCATGTCCCCTGATGCAGTAAACAGACTTACGTATGGATTCCCATAATCCCTGCCTCATGGGCTTCACACCCTTTTATGATCCCCTCTGCCTGAATGCTGTCAGGACCTCAATTTGCTTCTAAAGAATAGAATATGGCAAAGGTGATGAAATGTAAGAGATAAAGTATACGTGTAGAGCATCCCTTTTGATGGAGGGACTTCTTCAGAAGTAAGCTGACATGTTGTGAGCTGCCTATGATTGTGGCTTTGCAGATGACCCAGCTAAGCTGTGCCTGGACTTGGGATCCACAGATGAGAGACAGTAAATGAGTGATATTTTAAGCTGCTATGTTTGTGGTAACATTGCCACACAGCGATAGATAACTAATACACCTGAGCAGGCAGGTGAAGGTGTGATCTGGACTCTGCTGGGGGAATCAGCCATGGCTGGAGATGAGAACTCTTCTGCAGAGGTGAGAAGGCAGCTTCAGGGATAAGTCAGTAAGGGTGAAGCGTAAGGGAAACAAGGGTATAGGCTTCATTTCCAACATGGAGTAGGTCATATGCTGAGATATCAGTGGCAGGGAGATGGTGATATCTGGAACCCAGGAAGGCCACAAAAAGAAGCTGCCTGTGGAACTGCAGACACAGTGATCCCCTGGTAGTCTGCCAGCGGCCATGATGCCACCTGCCAGACTCTCAGCCACCTACCTGGATAGGTGCTTTCAGAGAGGACTTTCTTCACTGGCCATAGTTCTTGCCCCTGTTCCAGCAGGTAGATCAGCTCTGGTTTGGGAACAGGATGCCCTGTGCATGGAGAAATAAATGAGGCTGGGTGTACAGGTGGGGCTAAAAGAGAAGTCCCAAATATACAGGAGTATACACTTTTAACAAACCACCGGGAAACCCCAAAAAGGGGGGCTTCTCCTGCCAGGTGTTCCCTAATTAATCTAGGTCAGTAGGATTCAACCTCCCTGTGCCTCAGAACTACCTAGAGATGTCTGG